TAGAGACCCACAGAGGAAACTGAGATGGGGAAGTGCTTTCCTTTTCATTAAATATTGCTTTGTAATCTCTCAATTAAAAACAAAACAAAACAAAACAAAACTAGGTATTTATAATGTATGTTAAGAAAAAAAACTTTCACAGAGCTTCACATTTTCCCTCTGGTATTAGAAAAACTAAATCTATTTAGGCCTTCAAGTTTTGACAAAATGGCCCTTGAAATCAACAATTTGCCTCTTTCTGACACCATATTTCTAATCAGAAGGGAATACGATGAAATAGAAAATATAAATTAAATTCTTTTGGTAACTGAAGTAGCTACTATCAATGATAATTTGGGCATTTTACTGGGACTTTTGTTAAATTATTTCATGTAATTTCCTTAATTTTGTAAAAAGAGTCAGATAACATTATTTGTGGCCAGGCATGTTGGCTCATGCCTGTAATCCCAGCACTTTGAAGGCTGAAGTAGGTGGATCACTTGAGGTCAGAAGTCTGAGACCAGCCTGGCCAATATGTTGCTCTGTCTCTACTAAAAATACAAAAATTAGCCGGTCATGGTGGCGTGTGCCTGTAGTTCCAGCTACTCTACTCGGGAGGCTGAGGGAGGAGAATCACTTGAACTTGGGAGGTGGAGGTTGTAGTGAGGTGAGATCACGCTACTGCACTCCAGCATGAGCAAGAGAGTGATACTCTGTCTCAAAAAAAAAGATAACTCTTATTTTCTAGATAAGAGGCTAGAGAAATAAACTGTTTCATCTAAGATCATGGAACCAGTTACTAACAGTCAGAACTCCTACCCTTACATCCGAAATTCTCATTTTACTAGCCAGAGGTCTCCAATCTGTTTTGCAAGAGTGTCTCACACTTAGGATCAGCAGGGGCTGGGGAATATCATGCTGAAAAAAGAAAAGGAAAGGCTACCACTGTTTACCATGATCTTACAGAGCTGATCTGTACCAAATAGGAAAGACTGACTGCAGAGAGAGGAGAGAGGAAATAATAGTTAGCTTCAAGCCTTATACTCAACATTTACCAGTGTGAGTCTATCTGTGATGGACAGCCATTTATTCTTTGCTTTATCACACTGCTCCTCAATCAGAGAAAATGTATGACAACCTACACTATGTACTGTGGGCGAGAGGGAGTAAAAGTTAAGTATAGGTTTCAGAATCAGAGTTAGCTCTGTGAACCTGGGCAAGTTACTTAATCTACTATTATCATCATCAACTCAATTTAGGGAGAAAGTTTCTTGAGCACAGTGATAATTTCTCTTGTTTTCTGGGAAATGTTGCTTGGTCTGTTCAGGATACTATATATTAAAAATTCTCTTCTCCCAACTCTCATTTTCAGAAGAAGTCTAAGAACAATGTTTTCTATCTATTTTAATCCTGTCCCCACCTGTTTTGTCTCTACTTTGGATTCACAATAGCAAGAACTGCAGTATCTGAAAAACTTCTAAGGGAGAGAGAAGCAATGGTATCACAACAATGCCACATGTAAACTGTCAGAGAGCAAAAATGGCTGCTAAGAGATAGACAGGCTCTGCCTTCACCAGCACTGAGACACTCATTTAAATACCAGCCTTCCTTAACTGCTTTAGAAAAAAGCTAAGAGGAGCAAATCTATAAGCAAATTAAATGCCATACAAAAAGCTTACAGAATACACTTCACATAGAACATGTTATTTTTAGATATTTCTTGTAAGTATAAACAAAAAGAAGCAGTATATGGGAAACCAAAACTTAAGAGAAAAGCCAGAGCATCAGTGAGTAAGAAAGACTGAAGTCACAGTATTTCTAGAGCTTAGTTGGAGTAAAAGGATGGTGAAGAAAAAAAATGCAAAAGAAGGTAAGTACTGGGGGCAAGTTTTCAAATTTTAGGAAACTTATAATGGCATTATTTCAAGGCTGAATATATGATAACTGGTAATATATTGCCTCCCTACTGATTTTCCTTTACCTGCCCATTAGATAATTAAAAGGGGTTTAAGAGTAATATGGTAATGAAGTGCCTCCCCAGAGAAGAAAGCAGTATGTCCATTAATTTAAAGACATTAATGAAAATGAAATAATCAATGATGATCACAAATTCTTTGCTTCTCTCACCATTAAGAGATCTACTCTATTTTTCTCCCTTGAATCTGGGGTGATCTGTGACTTGCTTTCATCAGCAGAAAGTGACAGAAATAATGCTGTCCCTGTTCCAAGACTAGATGTTTTCACTATCTTAGGGCCCCAAGTACCTTCCTAAAGAGGTCTTGCTATCCTGCTGGAGAGACAATGTGGCCAGAGAAGTGAACGATGCCTGGCCAGAGAAGTGAACGAGCCACTTTTGATTTCTAGCCCCGGTAAAGTCTCTGGATGACCAGTTACATAAGTGACCTCAGGCAAGTAGAAGAACCACTGGCCTGAAACACTCCTCCCTCCCATGCCCTAATCCATGGTGCCAGGAGTACCAAAATGACTGTTGTTTTAAGAACCTAATCAGAAGCTGGCAAATTTTCGTCTTAAAGAGTCAGATAGTAAATATTTTAATAGGCTTTTGGGCCATCTGATCTCTGTCGCAACTATTCTACTCAGCTCTACTCTGTTCAACTGCCACTGCAATAGGAAAGTAGCCAATGTAGATGATGTAAACAAATGTGCATGGCTATGTTCCAACAAAACTTTATTTGCAAAAACAGGTGGCAAACTGGATGTTGCCTATGTGCTGAAGTTTAACAATCCCTACATTAAGGTTTGCAGTGGTTTCTTACTCAAGAGATAAATAGAACAGGCAATTTTCTTTAGGAGATAGCCTTAGTGTAGTTCCTTTCTAATGTGAGGATACTCTTTGTGATGCAAGGAGTATTTAAACTCAACTTTAAAAATCATAATTGTGGTGCATTCGCAGCATAAGAGTCATTCATAATATGTGTCTACTTCATAGGAGCAGAAGCTTAGTCAGTAATTGGTTATCATAAACTCATGAGTTTGGTCTTAGAGGGTCTGCCTTCTTTAAGAAGACAAGTGAATGGCAGAGACAGTACATACGCATAAAACCTGCTCTTTCTCTGACTGTTAAGGAGCTAATCATAACTAAGTTTAAAAGCTATTATCATAAATTACAATAATGAATTAGTAAATATGCGACACTATTTCCCATATCAATTTTTAAAAATCTTCCACAGAAATAAATACTTAAGACAAAAGGGTCTTAGCAAGTTCTATCTTTCTTTTTTTTTTGACACAGAGTTTTGCTCTTGTTACCAAGGCTGGAGTGCAATGGTGCGATCTCGGCTCACCGCAACCTCCGCCTCCTGGGTTCAGGCAATTCTCCTGCTTCAACCTCCTAAGTAGCTGGGATTACCGGCATGCGCCACCATGCCCAGCTGATTTTTTTGTATTTTTAGTAGAGACAGGGTTTCACCATGTTGACCAGGATGGTCTCGATCTCTTGACCTCGTGATCCACCCGCCTCGGCCTCCCAAAGTGCTGGGATTACAGGCTTAAGCCACTGCACCCAGCCAGCAAGTTCTATCTTTCTAAGTAGAAAACAGTTCATCAAGACTGTTCTTCAGCGTTAGGAAGACAAATGCAACATCTCTGATAATTTCCTAGGGTTGCCAGTCTGTCAGCTTTACAAAAAAATGCATTAGTTCTTAGTGTTCCCTTTTCTTTCCTGGTTACCTCAAACAGTCCAAATACCAGACAGTTATACTGACAGCATGTTAGAAAGATCTATGAAGACTAGAGGCACACTGAAACTTCAAGCTTTTTTTCTGGTAATTAAAAAAATATATTTATTACAAATACTATTAAGTCTTTGTTTTTCTGGTATTCAAATTACTTAAAAAATTATTTTTGACACAGGGTCTTGGTGTGTCTCACCTGACCTAAAGTGCAGTGATGATCACAGCTCACTGTAACCCTGAATTCCTAGGCTCGAGCCTCCCAAGTAGATGTGACTACAGGGGTATGCCACCATGCACAACTAATTTTTCTATTTTTTTTTAAGAGGTAGGGTCTCACTATGTTGCCCAGGCTGGTCTTGAACTGGTCTCAACTGATCCTCCTGCCTTGCCTTCCAAAGTGCTGGGATTACATTCTGAGCCACCAGGCCCTGCCACTTTAAAATTCCTAATATGGCCAGGCACGGTGGCTCACGCCTGTAATCCCAGCACTTTGGGAGGTCGAGACGGGTGGATCACGAGGTCAAGAGATCGAGACCATCCTGGTCAACATAGTGAAACCCTGTCTCTACTAAAAATACAAAAAATTAGCTGGGCATGGTGGCGCGTGCCTGTAATCCCAGCTACTCAGGAGGCTGAGGCACGAAAGTTGCCTGAACCCAGGAGGCGGAGGTTGCAGTGAGCCGAGATCACGCCATTGCACTCCAGCCTGGGTAACAAGAGCGAAACTCCATCTCAAAAAAAAAGAAAAATAAAATTCCTAATATGGTAGTAACTGTTACCCCAGCCTTAGGAGTCTATTAAAGTGAATAACTAGTTCTTCCAAAAAAGTAATTGTTAATACTTAAAAAAACAAAATATTATACATTTTTTTGGAGGTCCAAAGTTTCGCTCTTGTTACCCAGGCTGGAGTGCAATGGCACGATCTCAGCTCACTGCAACCTCCGCCTCTTGGGTTCAAGCAATTTTCCTGCCTCAGCCTCCCGAGTAGCTGGGCATACAGGCGTGCGCCACCATGCCCAGCTAATTTTTGTATTTTTAGTAGAGATGGGGTTTCACCATGTTGACCACGATGGTCTCGATCTCTTGACCTTGTGATCCACCCGCCTTGACCTCCCAAAGTGCTGGGATTATAGGCGTGAGCCACCATACCCGGCCCCAAAAATATATATTTTTATTCATAGTTTAACAATCAATTCACCGTGATTTCAAGAAATAATATAATTGCACTGGTTTTCAAGATTTCCATATGTTATTTATTACGACCCCAAAACACTCCTCTGCCCAGTTAGCTTGATTAAGCAACACATACAGGGGGTGCACCCTCACCTGAATTCAACCACAATCTTCTTCTGGGGAAGATCAGAGAAAAGTTCACTTTTTAATCCATATTTTGAGCCATCTTCAATGACTTGTTGTAATACTGTCTGAAAATTAAAGGAGTATAATTTAATGAACAAAAATTCCAATGCTTTTAATTACTCTTACTGAGAATTAAATGTTGCTAATTTTTTCATTCTAATTTACGGAACTGAGAATTTCCTACCATCCTCAGCAGCACTACCTCCAGCACCATTTTTCTAGTTATTAATGCTAGTCTTAGTAGTAACATTAGCTAACATTTATAAGGGCTCTGTGCCCTTTAGTACTCCATGTCTATTCATCCTTACAGTAACCAGTTATATAGGTATTCTACAGAGAAGGAAACTGAAGCTTGGTGAAGTTAAGTAACTGCCAAAAGTCCCACCGTAAATATTAACAACAAAAACCAGAAGCACCATCTATTACTGAGTTCATATTATGTCCCGGCCACTGTTGCAAGCATTTTATATACATTAACTTACTTCTCATGACAGCCTTAGAGATAAGAATTATTTTAACAAAGAAAGAAAGAAAAGGTTAAGTCTTGCAGAAAAGAACTTTTCCACTTCACGGTTAACCTGTTAACTGCTGCGTGCTGCTGCTGCTGCAGCTTCTGTGATATTAAGGACCACAAGTAATTGTAGGAGAAAGATAAAAATGTATAATTAAATGTCTATTGGCTACACAAGTGAGAAAAAAGGAAATCCCACAGAAACTTCCAAACATGTTCCAGGTTAGTTTTTAGTTATTAACAGACCTATTGCATAGTTCACAAAATTCTATTTTATTTTTTATTAATAGTAATAAACTTTTGTTTACTCATATCAATTGGTTTGTTTCCCCAATGGCATCTATATTTTACTTTTATTTTTATATTTTTAAGATGGGGCCTTACTCTGTTTCCCAGGGGGCTGGAGTGCAGTGGTGCAGTCACAGCTTACTGCAGCCTCAACCTCTCAGATTCAAGAGATCCTCCTACCTATGTGATTCTACAACCTCAGCTTCCAGAGTAGCTGGGACTACAGCACAAGCCACCACACCCAGCTAATTAAAAAAAATTTTTTTTTATATAGACAGGGTTCCATTATGTTGCCCAGGCTGGTCTTGAACTCCCGGTCTCAACTGACCCTCCCACCTTAGCCTCCCAAAGTGCTGGGATTACAGGTGTGAGCCACCATGCCTGGCCCCAAAATGCATCTTGAGTCCTAAAGTGTGGGTTATGTTGTGAAAAACTTTATTAACAAAGAGTTGGTAAAGTGGTCTCCAAATCAAACAAGCAGAGACCATAGCAGCAAGCAGTAAAACAGTACATAACAATTGACATTTAAGAAGCATTTATAGAGTGCTAGGTCTAAGACTGGATGCTTCTACACTGTATGTTGTCTTTAAGCCTCATAATCTTAAAGATGGGCAGCATTTCCCATTTAATGGATGCAAAACCTAAAGTTCAGAACAAGTATGTATGTGCACAGAGAAAATAATATTCTCTTTACTCACATTATACAATAAGAAACAGATAAAAGATTAATACAATATACAGACAGTATATAGAATAGTGTCTGTCATAAACTAGGGACCCAATAAATATTATTAGTCCAAGAATATGTATGAAAAAAACACTATAAGTGGAGAAGTAAAACATCAGTAAGAAGAAATCCACATTCAGATTATTCTAAAGTCTACAAATCTTTCACTTCTTATCCTTTTTATATAACGAATGGTAGACTCCACAATAGTTAATAGCAGTAAGTTAGAACTTTCTGTAAAAATAACTCTCTCTAAACTGATTTATCTGGCACAAACAACAAAAAGGCAATGGTAATTATTTCTGGCCAGAACTTCCAATATAATGCTGAATAGAAGTGGTGAGAGAGGGCATTCTTGTCTTGTACCAACTAAAAAGGGATGTGAAGGACCTCTTCAAGAAGAACTACAAACCACTGCTCAGGAAATAAAAGAGGACACAAACACATGGAAAAACATTCCATGCTCATGGTTAGGAAGAATCAATATTGTGAAAATGGCCATACTGCCCAAAGTAATTTATAGATTGAATGAATGCTATCCCCATCAATCAACCACTGACCTTCTTCACAAAACTGGAAAAAAACACCTTAAATTTCATATGGAACCAAAAAAGAGCCCACATAGCCAAGACAATCCTAAGCAAAAAAAAGCTGGAGGCATCATGCTACCTGACTTCAAACTATACTACACGGCTACAGTAATCAAAATAGCAGTGGTACTGGTACCAAAACAGAGATACAGACCAAAGGAACAGAACAGAGGCCTCGGAAGTAACGCCACACATCTACAACCATCTGATCTTTGAGAAATCTGACAAAAACTAGTAATGGGGAAAGGATTCCCTATTCAATAAATGGCGTTGGGAAAACTGGCTAGCCATATGCAGAAAGCTGAAACTGGACCCCTTCCTTACACCTTATACAAAAATTAACTCCAGATGGATTAAAGATTTAAACGTAAGACCTAACACTATAAAAGCCCTAGAAGAAAACCTAGGCAATATCTTTCAGGACATAAGCATAGGCAAGAACTTCATAACTAAAACACCAAAAGCAATGACAGCAAAGCCAAAATAGACAAATGGGACCTAATTAAACTTAAGAGCTTCTGCACAGCAAAAGAAATAATCATTACAGTGAACCGGGAATCAACAGAATGGGAAAAAATTTTCGCAACCCACCCATCTGACAAAGGGCTAATGTCCAGAATCTACAAAGAACTTAAATTTACAAGAAAAAAACAACCCCATCAAAAAGTGGGCGAAGGATATGAACAGACACTTTTCAAAAGACATTTATGCAGCCAAAAAACATGAAAAAAAGCTCATCATCACTGGTCATTAGAGAAATGCAAATCAAAACCACACTGAGATACCATCTCATGCCCAATTAGAATGGTGATCATTAAAAAATCAGGAGATAATAGATGCTGGAGAGGATGTGGAGAAATAGGAACACTTTTACACTGTTGGTGGGAGTGTAAATTAGTTCAACCATTGTGGAAAACAGTTTGGCAATTCCTCAAGGATCTAGAAATAGAAATACCATTTGACCCAGAAATCCCATTATTGAGTATATACCCAAAGGATTATAAATCGTTCTACTATAAAGACACATGCACACGTATGTTCCCTATGGCACTGCTTACCATAGCAAAGACTTGGAACCAACCCAAATGCCTACCAATGGTAGACTGGATAAAGAAAATGTGGCACATATACACCATGGAATACTATGCAGCCATAAAAAAGGATGACTTCCTGTCCTTTGCAGGAACATAGATGAAGCTGGAAACCATCATTCTCAGCAAACTGACACAAGAACAGAAAATCAAATACCACACGTTCTCACTCATAAGTGGGTGTTGAACAATGAGAACACATGGACACAGAGAGGGGAACATCACACACTGGGGCCTGTTGGGGGATGGGGGACTAGGGGAGGGATAGCAGGGGGTAGGTGGGATTCAAGAGGGGGTAGGGGGATTGAGGAGGGATAACATTAGGGATATCTAATGTAGATGACAGGTGGATGGATGCAGCAAACCACCATGGCATGTGTATACATATGTAACACACCTGCATGATCTGCACATGTACCCAAGAACTTAAAATATAATTTTAAAAAGAAAAAAACTGTAATAATTTTTTAAAAAATTGAACATTTAAGATAAGGCTAAAGTTCCTTTCAATCATCTGTCCTTATCCTAATTCCTTCCCTCCTTCCTCAGGAGTAACCACTTTTCAAACATCATCTTAGCTGGTGACTACTCCTTTTTTGCAACTATCCTCCTTCCTTGCTTATATAGACATCATTTCCTCTCAACTTTTGCTTCTCAATGTCCCTTGTAGGCTCTTCTTCCACCATGTGCTCTTGGCTCTGTACTCTGCTCCATTCTTGCTTCTAGCTTTTTATTTTACACTTTCAGGTGACTTAAACCACTTTCTTAAGACTTCAAATACTAATTACTTCTGTATTCCTTTCAGTGGGACAAGATGTGGCAATGAAGACAATGATACTGATGATCCTGACCTTGTGTAGGATAAGGCTAACGTGTTTGTGTCTTAGCTTTTAACAAAAAAGTCTAAAAAGTAAATTAAAAAATTAGAAAAAGCTTACAGAATAAGGATATATTTTTGTAAAGTTGTATAATATGTGTTTTAAGCTATTATTATTACGAGTCAAAAAGTTAAAATTAAGCTGAGACATAAAGAGAAATAAAAACGTTTAAAAAATGAAAAAGTTTATAAAGTAAAAATGTTACAGTTCGGTAAGGTTAATTTATTATTGAAGAAAGAAAAATATCTATTTTTTATAGATAGAATCTCTAGTTGGGCTTGGTGTTGGGCACCTGTAATTCCAGCTACTCGGAAGGCTGAGGTAGGAGAATCACTTGAACCTGGGAGGTAAAGGTTGCAGAGAGCTGAGACCACGCCATTACACTCTAGCCTGGGCAACAAGAGTGAAACTCTGTCTCAAAAAAAAAAAAAAAAAAAAAGAGACAGGGTCTTGCTCTGTCACCCAGGTTGGAGTACAGTGGTGTGATCCTAGTTCACTGCAGCCTTAAACTCCTGGGCTCAAGTGATCTTCCTGCCTCATCTCGAAGTGCTGGAATTACAAGTGGGGGCCACCATCCAGCCAGGAAAAATATTTATAATTTTTATTTTATTATTTTATTCTGAAGTTATGATACAAGGAAAAATATTTTTTTATAAACCCATTGAAACCTTAGTATACAGTGTTTATAACATCTACAGTAGCATACAGTAATATGCTAGGTCTTCACATTTACTTACCACTCACTGACTCACTCAGAGCAACTTCCAGTCCTGCAAGCTCCATTCATGGTAAATGCCCTATAGCATCTTTTCTCTTTAATTCTGTATTTTTACTGTATCTTTCCTATGTTTAGACATGTTAAGACATAAATATCACTGTGTCACAATGGCACAAATACAGTATTTGGTATTTTACATGATATATAAGTTTATAGCCTAGGTCTCTGTAGTCAGTTTTATCATCTAGGTTTGTATAAGTACACTTTATCATGTCCCATAATAACAAAATCATCTATTGACACATTTCTATGAATGTATCACACTAAGTAAAACCTGACTATATAATAAAACAATAACACCTATCTTTTTACATGGCATATACATTTAATCAAGTCTGTTTTATTCAAACTCTTCAATCATTCAAATGGTTTAGGAGATTTTATCAATTGGGTGCAGTGCCTCACGCCTGTAATACCAGCACTTTGGGAGGCTCAGACAGGAGGACTGCCGGAGACCAAAAGTTAAGATCAACTTGGACAACACAGCAAGACCCCATCACTAAAAATTAAAAAAAATATATATTAGCTAAGTGTAGTGGCCTGTGACTGTATTCCCAGTTACTTCTGGAGGCTGAGGCAGGAGGATTACTTGAGCCTAGCAGTTCAAGCCCTGTAGTAAGCTATGACGATGATGCTCTACACCAACCTGAGTAACAGAGACTCCATCTTTAACAAAAAAAATTTAAAAATATATTTTACCAATTCCTAATCTGACTTTTACTTGACACATGCATATCACCTTTGTTTTTTATTTTTTTTTTGAACTTTTTTGAAATTTGTTTGTTTAAAGGCATACTATAGCCTGGGCATGGTGGTTCATGCCTGTAATCCCAGTGCTTGGGGAGGCCAAGGCAGGATGATCACTTGAGGCCAGGAGTATAAGACCAGTCTTAGCAAGACTCCATCTCTGTTAAAACACTTTAAAAACTGCTTGTGCACAGTGGCTTGTGCTTATCAGTCCTAGCTGTTCTGGAGGCTGAGGCGGGAGGACTGCTTGAGCCCGGGAGGTTGGGACTGCAGTTAAGTTGTGATCACATCACTGCCTTCCACCCTGGGTGACAAAGCAAAGCAAGACCGTGTATCAAAAAAAAAAAAGAATGGCACACTGTAATATCCATAAAAATCACAAGTTCAAAGTGTTAGGTTTTTCTGCCAATATCTATCTATTAAAATGAAGTAAGTTTCACTGGTGTACTACCAAAAATCTTACGTGCTACCAGCGGTACACATAACATGGAAAATGATGACTCATAGGAAAAAGCTGAAACTCTTATGCAAAGAACAGAAGGCCTTTCATACTAATTTCATATCCTCCCCCATGCCATCTATGTGCAACCATACTCTCAACGATCTGCTAACTTCCAGATGATACCAGGTTTCTGACTATCTGTACTCTGTCCCAAGCCATACCCTCTGCCTGGAATGCCTGCTCTTGTATCTCCCAGGTATATTTCTCATCTTCATTCCAATTCAAGGTTATGTCATCTCTCCTGAAGATACACATATATATGTACTCTTCTTTACACTGAGGTTGCATCTTATATATGCCACCATTATAACATTCATTACATTATCATATCTATTACACATTACACTGCAGTATGTTTTATGCTTTTCTTTTAGATTGCAAGCCCCTTGAGGTCGAGATCCAAGCTATTTTATCTTTAGATCTCAGTAATTTAGACTCTGGCAAATAATTAGCAGATTCATTAAAGCAAATGAAAGCTTTTAACTGCAGAATGTCAGTGAGCTACAAATGTTCCCAGATATTCTAATAGATAAATAAGCTAGAAGCCCATCTTTTATCAATATGTATGTTTAAACATAAGTTGTATTCAGTAATGTAAAATACTGGTGCATAAAGCGCTTTTAATCAGAAACAAAATCTTTTAAAGATTTCACTTTTTGGAATGCTTAGCAAATTAATTAATATTCCAATTAACTGGTACTTTCTCTTTGTCTATCACCATTGTCTTTTTCTGTGGAAAATTTGTTATTTTATCTAACTCTTTGTTGGTTAATTATTTATTTATGGTTCTGATCCAGACTTCTAAGGAAGCTATCACTCACTTCCCTATGTCTAAGAAAGCTATCACCACTACCCTACTTGTTAATTCTTTGGTCAACAGTTGAAAAGTTCTTAAAAATCATTCATTCCTTCCACATATTTATGGAAACTATATGTGACTTGAATGCATCCACTGCCTATAGGAAAAAAGTCTCCTTGTGAAATAGATGCAGCCACTGGAGTGGAACTGGAGCCATTTAAATGAGTATCTTTTTTTCCTTTACTTTTGGTAAAAGATGCAAAGTTGGCCAGGCACAGTGGCTCACACCTTTAAGCCCAGCACTTTGGGAGACCAAGGCAGTTGGATCATGAGGTCAGGAGTTTGAGACCAGCCTGGATAACATGGTGAAACCCCATCTCTACTAAAAATACAAAAATTAGCCAGCACAGTGGTGCACGTCTGTAATCCTGGCTACTCAAGAGGCTGAGGCAGGAGAATTGCTTGAACCTGGGAGGCAGAGGTTGCAGTGAGCTGAGATTGTGCCACTGCACTCCAGCTGGGCGATAGAGCAAGACTCCGCCTCAAAAGAAAACAAAAAAACAAAAAAAAAAAAACAAAGAAACCCCATAAAAATAAAAAAATTGAATTTGGCAAATTAGAAAGTGTGAAATAAAATTCTGTCCATTGTGTATTTTGAAGCATCCCTAAGAAAACGGGGTTTTATCTGCATTTTTCATATTTGGTTAGTGTCATATTTTCTTTTTTCCCTTTTAACAATTAAATATTATTTGAAGTTACAGTTTCTCTTGAAAGTACTGTAAGCTACTGACAGGTAGAAGTTTGGTACCAAAGTGACAGTTCTTCGCAATGCTAGTATGGTTACTTTTCAAGCAAAAATATAGCAATTCTTTATTGGTCCTAATGAGTTGAATTTTTTTCTTGATGTGATCTGAAAAATTCATTAAACATGCAAATGACTACCATCTGAGACCTGAAAATTATGGTGTAAACAAACTTATATAAAAGTATAGCACATACAATTATGTACAGTACATAATGCTTCATTATTAATGACTATGTTCGTGATTTATGCATTTACTATACTTATAATCATTATTTTAGAGTATTATCCTACTTATAAAAAAATGGACTGTAAAACAGCTAAAATTATAAAACTGGAGATCCGATAATGAGAAAAACAGATGCTATAAGCTTGAGAAAACAAAAATATCTCAGAGTAGTCTCAGCTATATGAGGTATGCAGGCTCAGAAAGACATGCATATCTGATGTCAGTTATGCACATTGTTTTATGTGATTTTGTTCCCAACTAGCTGCCTCACACATTATCGTCACCTTACTGGAATTTGTGATACAAAGAAAAATGTACAGCCTATCAATAGCTTACATTATTTTAAAATTCTAGTTAACAACTCAAACTCCCTCTTTTTCCCCCTTTAAAAACCCACTTGTAACTGCTGCTGATTGAAGGGTACATTCAGGGCAACTTTTATCTGTGCTCCTCAACTGAAATCCTCAAGCTTGACCCAACTAAACTCTCTACTTATATTAATTTTGCCTCAGTTTCCTCCTTTTAAATTGACAGCCAAATGTAGAATAAATTAGGTTTTTAGTAAATAAGAATTATTGGGCTGGGCGCGGTGGCTCACACCTGTAACCCCAGCACTTTGGGAGGCCAAGGTGGGTGGATCACGAGGTCAAGAGATCGAGACCATCCTGGTCAACATGTTGAAACCCTGTCTCTACTAAAAATACAAAAATTAGCTGGGCGTGCCTGTAATCCCTGCTACTCAGGAGGCTGAGGCAGGAGAATTGCCTGAACCCAGGAGGCAGAGGTTGCTGTGAGCCGAGATCACGCCATTGCACTCCAGCCTGGGTAACAAGAGCAAAACTCTGCCTTAAAAAAAAAAAAAAAGAATTATTAAAATTATAACACACACCAGAGGTACATTCAATAGTTCTGTATCTGAACACGAGTGCTCACTGCTGTAGAATCTGGCTTTACTGTGACCCTGAGCAGGGCAACAGTAAGCAGTCTGCCTGCTCCTTTAATGAAATTTCCACTAAGACACAGATCCTCAAGGCTGCAATATGGAAGAATTTCCATATGAGAAAGAGTGGCTGGACTTCGAAGCTGTGACTCTTGTCCCTCCATTGTTAATTGAGAAGGATTTGGAAGTATTTTTAATAAGTGAGCTAATAGGTATCCTTAAATCAGAAAAAATTCTTTGGTTTCTTAATTGAAATAAAGCATGAAAATTCATGGCCATTGAAACCTGTGAGACAAGGTCTCACTCTGTCACCTAGGATGGAGTGCAGTGGCACAGTCACGGCTCACTGCAACCTCAACCTCCCAGGCTCAAGTGATCCTCCCACTTCAGTCTCCAGAGTAGCTGGGATTGCAAGCACAAACCACCTTGAGTGGCTAATTTTTAAATTTTTTGTAGAGATAGGGTCTCACTATGCTGCCAAGACTGGTCTCGAACTCCCAGGCTCAGGCAATCCTCCTGCCTCAGCCTCCCAAGTGCTTATACAAACCTAGATAATATAGCCTACTACACACCTAGGCTATATGCTATAGCCTGTTGCTCCTAGACTACAAACCTGTACAGCATGTTACTGTACTGAATACTGAATACAACTGTAACACAACAGTATCTGTATACCTAAATATATCTAAATACAGAAAGGTACAGAAAAAAAATGGTATTGTCTTATGGGACCATCATTTCTACATATTGTGTATGAAATGTCATGTGGTACATGACTGTACAGTGCTATGAAAGCATATAAATGAAGGGGTCAGAAAGGTACTGCCAAAGAAATAGCAACACTTAAAGAATGAGTAGGTGTTAACTTGTGGTGGCCCTCTCCCAAGTTATGGATCAGTATGTGCAAAGGTTTTGAGGCTAGAGGAGGTATAGTAAGTTAAATGACTGGAGGAAGACGACTGTGACTGAAGCAGACAGAATGAAAGCACAATGGCTGGATATTAACTTATTCTTACCTTTGTTAAGAGCTCTCTGTTTATTTTGAAATTTACAGTCCTTTCACCAGTACTGATTTCACTCACCACTGTATCACATCTTAGCTGAAAAGAACAAATCACATAAAGTTGGTATGTTATATAATGGGCCTAATGAGATACGTAGTTCTAACACTATTTTTGGCTTACAAAGATACAAGTAGGTCATCTAGCATAGTCCCTGTATTGGGTCCTAAGTCTTAGGCAATCTCTTTAGTTCCATGATCTTATTTAAGTAAACCACATTTTCCTTTTTCGCCAACAAGTTATTCTGTTTTCAGTCTCTCTCTTCCTCATTCCCTTTCCCTCCCCTCAAATTCACCTTTTAACAAGAAAAACCATTCCACTCATACTCTACCTACTCGGACATAAAATAAACACTTTTTATCTCACCCAGCTTTCATGAGAACCACAGAACATGATATTCTGTCAGGGTCTACACTAAAGCACCTGCACCAACAGATAAGATGTAACTTAGAAAGTTTGTCGTCTATGCATATGCCTTCACTTTTTAACCTATTAGATGTTCAAACCCATCTCATGAAAAACCTATGGAACTTGAAGAGATATCTGTTGTCACTAAAGAACAATTAGTCTTTATTTTTAAGAACTTACAAGAAATGGGAAAAAGGGACTAAATATTGTACTTTGAGTAATTCTCCTAGTAAAAATCCGGGGTGATTTTGTGATCAAACAAGTATTTACTAAGCTACCAATGCTCTTTTATCATACTTATCCATTAAATAAACATCTTTTTCTATAATATTGACTTTCATTATTCCAATTCTTCAGTTCCCAGACACTGCCTCTGTGACATATGTTAATAACCTTGTCCAACATCTCTGCCTTTTCTGAGAGAATTACACTAACAATTTATATTTAGTAATTCCTTACAATACTTTCAATTCCTCTTTTAGATATCAAACCCATCAGAGAACTGAGAAATAAAAGAGCTTATTAAATCATCTAACTACCTCTTCTCTGCAATCATGATTCTATTTACATCTAATCATTTCTTCTCATATTTTAATATTCATCTTCTCAGAAACTCATTCTAAAATTTGCAACTCACTGCTCTAATTTATCAAGCTTATTCTCCTAAATTCAAAAGTCCATCCAGCTTCAATCTGTAGATTTAATTAACACTTCAGTCTTCCTGTAAGTGGTTAATCAAAAAATTGAACAATGTCAGCTTAAGAGGAATGCTTTGTAACTAATTTGAAAAATCATTAAAACCTTAGAGTACAAGGCTAAAATGAATTTAAATTATATTACCCAAGATGCCTTGAACAAAGAAACACTATTAAATTCATTATTATGGCTGAGATAGCTTGCAGAGTATTTTTTTTTAAATAATAAGTTTATTACAATGTCAAAAAGAGATAATAGTGCTAAGTACCTTCTCTGCTAGTCTCTTGGCATGAACTTGAATATCTGGTCTTGAATGGTCATTGTCTTTTTCCAATAAAGAATCCACGGAAAGCTGAAAATCAGCTGCTTCTCTGAAGACAGACATTGAAATGAGATAGGACTGTTAACTTAAAAGCATTGGTCGTGTAACAAAGACTCATCACTATGAGTTCTCCACTGAGAAATACCTTTACCAGAAAAGGTGTTATGTTTGCTTTCAAAATTAAAAGCAAGGGGGTCAGGTACAGTGGCTCACACCTGTAATCCCAGCATTTTGGGAGGCTGAGGCAGGTAGATCGCCTGAGGTCAGGAGTTCAAGACCAGCCTGACCAGATGGTGAAACCCTGTCTCTACTAAAAACACGGGCACACACACACACACACACACACACTCACACACACAGAAACACACAAAAATTAGTCAGGCATGTTGGCACGTGCCTATAGTCCCATCTGCTCGAGAGACTGAGGCAAGAGAATTATTTGAATCCAGGAGGTGTAGATTGCAGTGAGCCAAGATTGTGCCATTGCACTCTAGCCTGGGTGACAAGAGCAAAACTCTGGTCTCAAAAAAAAAAAAAAAAGCCCACAAATAAACAAAATTAAAAACAAGAAAATTGGAAATAACCTATTATTTATTTAGAATGTTTTTCGGCTGGGCGCAGTAGCTAAAGCTTGTAATCCCAGCACTTTGGGAGGCCAAGGTGGGTGGATCACGAGATCAAGGGATCGAGACCATCCTGGTCAACATGGTGAAACCCCGTCTCTACTAAAAATACAAAAAATTAGCTGGGCATGGTGACGCATGTCTGTAATCCCAGCTACTCAGGAGGCTGAGGCAGGAGAATTGCCTGAACCCAGGAGGCGGAAGTTTCGGTGAGCCAAGATTGCGCCATTGCACTCCAGCCTGGGTAACAAGAGCGAAACTCCGTCTCAAAAAAAAAAAAAGAAGGTTTTTCTTATCATCTTATAAAATTATTCCTCTTCTATTACCCAATTGTAGCTTTATGGTATCTCTGTGAAACAGGTAGAGCAGCCACCTTATTTTATAGACATGAAAAGCTAAGTGTCTCCTTTAAAATCCTACTGCAACTAAAAACAGATTGAGAAAAAAGCCCAGGTCTCTTGACCTCTTCTACAATGCTTCCTCTACTACTACAAAGTTTGCTTCTAATTCAAACTTTTCCACTGACCTCCAAATGCCATATTTTTAAAAATGTTGTAATTCGAGTTTCAAGATGAGAAAATAAGATTATTCTTAACACTCAGTAGTTCATTAAAGAGACAATGCCATTTATCCTTTTCATTGGGTAGGTGAAGAAACAATACAAAAACAAAGAAACAAACACAAAGCAACTGATTAGTGAAAATAAGTAATTTGCATCATGAGATTACTTCTCTCTAGGGAGCAGGGTAGGGAATGGAGTCAAATAAATATATGTAGTGACTTCAACATTATCTTAATGCTTAATAAAAATCAAAAGCTTTCCCTTTCCCCACAAAATAAGACTTGAAGTAAATTTGGAAAAAGGACTTGACAATTTAGAAAGGGACCATGAGAGTACTCATTATATCACTATGAATTTTTCCGGAGGTTTGAAATAGTTCAAGGCGAAAAAAAATTTTTTGGTTTAAATGAAATATTGGTCGGCTGCTTGTCTGTTATTTTCTTCCCTTATGCCTTCCTGTCTCCATTGCTAAGCACATTTATTGGCATAAAAGAGGTTTTCAATACACATTTTTAAACTACATTCTAGCCTGGGCAATAGAGCAAGATTCCCGTTCTCTCTCCCTTTTTCTCTTCCTCTTTCTTTCTCTCTTTCATTCTTTTTTCTCTTTCTTCTTTTCTTTCTTTTTCTTCCTTTCTTTTTTTCTCTTTCAAAAAACAAATTTTTTTTAATCAACAAACATCTATATAACTACTCACACTAATTAATCTTCTGGTGTTTAATATGGAACTAGAGAATGAGACTCTATGGGCAGAGTAAGAGGGTTGAAACATTATTTATCCAGCCCATCTGTCACTGGAATGAAGACATGTTTTTGAGAAGGCACAAATGATTCCCTTAATTAGCACTTATGAAACTCAGGGAAATAACTAAAAATTCCTGTGTGACTTCTGGTTAACATCACATTTAAAAACCTAGTCTACAATGACCATTAAGAATTTTCCTGAGCCTTAATACATCATCCAGCAGCCTAGTACGTATCAAACTTTGGCCAGGTACAGGGGCTCATGTCTGTAATTCTAGCACTTTCGGAGGTCAAGGTAGGAGGAATGCTTGAGCTAAGGAGTTCAAGATCAGCTTGGGCAACATAGGAAGACCTAGATTCTAAGAAAAAAAAATTATCTTAAAAAATGAAAACAATTTAAATATCTAGCAACAAGGGAATGTTACAGTATTGTTAAAAGTGATACTCATTTTAAAAAAAGAATTATGTTAGGAAGAGGATTCAATAATCTTACATTTTTCCGTGTAGTTTTATAGTTATATTTTTTTAAAGGCTAAAAACATTCAAAGAAAAAAGTAAAAAATACATCAACTTGCTAAAATCAGTTGTCTTACTGTAGTAAGAATATTGGGTACTTTTATCTTTTCCTATTCTTCTGTATTTTCCTGAATTTCCTTAAGAAGATTATCTGTTTTGCTTTTATAACAGAAAAACAAATTTTAAAAAACTCTTTATAAAGACATAACATCTAGGCTATGAAAAGCAGTAGATATCAAAATCAACTGTGGATAAGGAGAGCCTGACACAGTGGCTTACACCTATAATTCTAGCATAGGAGGCTGAGGTGGGAGAATTGCTTGAGCTGAGGAGTTCAAGACTAGCCTGAGAAATGCAGGGAGACATTGTCTCCACAAAAAAATTTAAAAATTAGCCAAGCATGGTGGTCCACGCTTGTGGTCCCAGCTAATCGGCAGGCTGAGATGGGAGGATAGCTTGAGCCTGGGGGGTTGAGGCTGCAGTGAGCCGTGATTCTACCACTGCACTACAGCCTCAGCGATTGCCACAGTGAGATCCTGTCTCAAAAAAAAAAAGTGGACAACGACAGTGGACAGGGTATAAAATAAACAAAACTGGTCCCATTCACATGATGGTGGATTATGGACACATAAGGTTCATTAAACTAGTACCCAACTGTTCATTTATACTTAAAAAGTTTAAAAATCAATAGTTATTTTTCCACCACTTCTGAGGAATTGTGATATTGATTAATGTGAAATTCACAGACTTGATAGCCACTGGCTTATAATAAAGTTGTTAATTCTGTCTACTACCATCAGATAGTAGACAGAAAATAAAATTGAGAGCATTAGTAGATCTAAGTAAATTAATTCATTATGTTAAATAAACCATGTTAAAAAAAAATAGTATTTCTTAATTATCCTGGTACCTATGAGCATTCTGGAATAAAGTTAGAAATACAGAATGGTTAGGCTTAGTTTCATGCTGTAAAGAATACCTGAATTCATTAGGGCAAAGCAGTAGAGGTTCCCTTTGTGTGGAAAGTAAAAAGTTCCTCTTTAAAGTTTCCTTTCTTGTTAAAGAGTAAACAGTAAATGTTAGAAATAATAGTTTCTTTTAAAGACTAACTTCCTTCAAAGCCTTCTTGTTTTTTTTTTTCTAATAAACCTTTGTTAAGCCCTATCCTATGTAGTTGTTAGATATAAAGAAATGAGTACATTCTATATCCTTGTACTTTAACCAAGATATCTGTTCTGGACCTGCTCAGGCATGTCCCAGCTTGCAGCCCATGCCCCTTCCATATTTGGAAATAGTATTACTTTTCTAAGTTCTTTCACAAGCAATTTTCTCTTTTCCTTTGTTCGCCATTGCCTATTTAGGAAAGTTTTAAGTTGTTAGCCAATCGGGTTCAGCTTTGACTGTGAGGTCCAGCTGCAACCAACGGACAAAGGACACAGCAGTAAGGACCCAGTGCATAAGGGATAACTATTCCTGCCTTTCCTTTGTTCATTGTGCTCTTGTGGCAGGATTGTTAACAGGTAGCACTCTTTCTGCAGAAGGTAAAAATTGCCTTGCTGAGAAAATTTGTATTCAAGGGCTACCTTTTTTGAGGAGCCAAAAATTTACATGTAACAGTTTGTTTTAAGTAAATTTAATACAAAGAATTTCAGATTTGTAGGCCAGAAAAATGTTGAGGCCCTCCCCAATCTTTATTTTCTATAAACTAAAGTCAAAACTTCAAATTCATGAAAGCAGGCAAAGGAAATCCTATTTAAAAGATAGGCCAAGATGGTTCAGCTTATTGAACGCCTTTGAAACATCAAATGAATATGAAGGCCGGGTGCAGTGGCTCATGCCTGTAATCCTAGCATTATGGGAGGCTGAGGCAGGTGGATCACCTGAGGTCAGGAGTTCGAGACCAGCCTGGCCAACATGGCAAACCCTGTCTCTATTAAAAATACAAAAATTAGCCAGGCATGGTGGCGCACACCTATAATCCAAACCACTTGGGAGGCTAAAGGAGAATCACTTGAACCCAGGAGGTGGAGGTTGCAGTGAGTCTAGATTGCGCCACTGCACTGAAGCTAGTGCAATGGGAGCAACACTCCATCTCAAAAAAGAAAAAGAAAAAAAAAAAGAGAATGGAAACAGGCTGGGGGCAGTGGTTCATACTTATAATCCCAGTACTCTTGAGAGACCAAGGTAAGTGTATTGCTTGAGCCCAGGAGTTCAAGACCACCCTAGGCAACATGGCTAAACTCCATTTCTACAACAAATACAAAAAAATCAGCCAAGCATAGTGGTGTGAGCCTGTAGTCCAAGTTACTCTTGAGGCTAAGGTGGGAGGATTACTTGAGCATGGGAGGCTGAGGCTTCAGTGAGCCAAGATCACACCATTGCCCTCCATGAGACCTGGTCTCAATACAAACAAATCAGTAACATTTCTCTTATTATGCAGAATGTCATTTATAAATTTTACGAAATATATAACTAGTTTGGAAGGTTACATCTATTTACATATAATCACAAGATCCCCTTGGTAGTGGTTGCCTCTCTTACAGAAAGTCAATATAAAAAGTTGCGGTCAGCCATTTTAAAGGTGCTTTTACTAGAAGGCCAAACGTAGCCTTTTGCTTTCTTTTCCACTTACTTTTTTGTTCTACTCTGAGAAAAAGAATATTCATTCTACTCTACCTTAAAGTCCTGACAAAGTTGAGTGAATAAAATACAAAGATATAATCTTTGTATTATATCTTTTATTTCTTTTCAAAGGGTAATTATATCTTTTATTTCTTTTCAAAGCTTAGGGCTTAAATGCCTACTATGTAGTTAATTTCTTTTCATGATTAATTGACAGAGAATATTTTATCCAAACGTTGAAGTTTTTTACCCAAATGGTAAACAAGAATCATTTGGGATGACCAAACTCACAAAGAAACATCTCTTGTAACCAAGAAAGCAACTAGTGGTTGTATGTAGTCCTAACCAACAGTTTTCTATCACTGGGAATACTCAAAAGGAAACATAATAAATGAAAACAACATTAAAAATCTAGTAGATAAATATGGTACAACAGTATCCAAGCACCAGATTGGCTGTACGATCTTTAATATCCCTACAAAAACCCTGAAATTCTAACCACAATTTTTGTGATTTTATTGTTACAGGATTGAATTTGAACCTCATTCCCAAAGACTTTGCCATAATTTTATTAACTAGCATAACTAATATAATTAACATACTATATAATCTGCCACATGAGAATATTTAAAATACAGATTTTAATTTTATTATTTAAGTCAATGGGAGTAATAGAATGATACATTATTCCAGGTATTGAGGATACAGTAGTGAATAATAACCTGCCACATCAGAATATTTAAAATATAGATTTTAATTTTATTATTTAACTCAATGGGAGTAATAGGTTGAATATAATAAATTATATCTTATAGTTAATTTCAAGCACTATATGATAAATTGAAGAGTAACAATTCTTTTTTACTTTTTTGGTATAGCAACAAAGTTAGCAACTTTTTAGATTGTTACAAGTATATTATACTTAACTCATTTTTGGAAATTGGAACTGCAGATATTGACTTGATCAAGTTTTCTGGTGGAAGATCCAACACTCTAGAAAGCTAAAAATCAAAAAGAACAAAACAGTGCAAGATTGTTGACATATTTGTTCCATTCAATGGAATATCACTTATAAGAATAAACTATTAATACACTTAACACGAATGAGTTTCAAATGCATTATAAGTGAAGGAAGCCAGATTCAAAAAGGTATCTAGTGTATGATTCAATTATCTGACCTCTGGAAAACCCAGAATTCTAAAGATGAAGAATAAATCTGTGGTTGCCAGGGGTTGAGACGAGGATTTGACCATAAATCAGCAAATGGAACTGTCCAGCAAAAAGAATGAATTTTATCTAGGTAAATTAAAAAAAAAATTACAGCAAGAGAGAAGAAAACCACTGAGAAATTATCCACAGATAATTCATTTTTTTTTTCATTAAAAAAAATTGGTAATTCCAAGTTCTCTAAGGGGAGAAAAAAAAAATATTGGCCAGGCATGGTGGCTTGGGCCTGCAATTCCAGCATTTTGGGAGGCTGAAGTGGGTGGATCGCAAAGTCCAGAGATTGAGACCATCCTGGCCAACATGGTGAAACGCTGTCTCTACTAAAAATACAAAAATTAGCCTGGAATGGTGACATATGTCTGTAGTCCCAGCTACTCGGGAGGCTGAGGTAGGAGAATCGCTTGAACTTAGGAGGCAGAGGTTGCAGTAAGCCAAGATTGCGCCACTGCACTCCAGCCTGGCAACAGAGTGAGACTCTGTCTCAAAAACAAAACAGAAACAAACAACAACAAAAAAAGCAAAACAAAATATTGAGTGGCTACTTAATGTCCCAGGCATTATTCCAGGTATTGGGATACAGCAGTGAACAAAACAGACAAAAAAAAACCTCATGGCATTTAAAAATAAATAAGTAAATAATAGGGAAAATCTGATCCTCAGCCCTATGGAAGGCTTACTTATTAGAATAGTAGCAGTGGGTATGTTTATATACATATATTTTGTAGCACAGTTTCTCGCTATGTTGCCCAGGCCGGTCTCGAACTCCTGGCTTGATGTAATCCTCCCACATCAACTCCCCAAAGTCCTGGGATTACAGGTGTGAGGAACTGTGCTTTGCTGCATTTGTATTTTTTAAAAGCTCCTTGCATTATTGTTAATACACAGCCAGAGTTGTGAACTACTGCCTTAAATGGACACTCAAAAGTCAGATGGAAGAGACATTCCCATGCACTGAATGATTTATTTTGAGATGGACTCTTGCTCTGTCACCCAGGCTGGAGTATAGTGGGGTGATCTTGGCTCACTGTAACCTCCATCTCCTGGGTTCAAGTGATTCTCCTGCCTCAGTCTCCCGAGTAGCTAGGATTACAGGCGCCTGCCACCAAGCTCGGCTAATTTTTGTATTTTTAGTAGAGACAGGGTTTCACTATGTTGGCCAGGCTGGTCTCAAACTCCTGACCTCAGGTGATCTGCCTGCCTCGACCTCCCAAAGTGCTGGAATTACAGGTGTGAGATACCACACTCGGATTTTAAAAAATTTGTATAGAGACAGTCTTGCTATGTTGACCAAGCTGGCCTCTAACTCCTGGCCTCAAGCAAACCTCCCGACTCCACTTCCCAAAGTGCTGGGATTACAAGAGTGAGCCACCACACCAGTCCTATGTGACAAGCATGTCTTAAGTGCCTTAATTTTACCTTGCAACAATCCCATGACTTTCCTGCTATTTCTGCCCTCATTTTATGAATGATGAAACTGAAGTAAAGGGAATTTACTTAACTTGCCTAAGTGTAAAGAAAAGCTAGGAGGTGAATACAGGCTATCTAAAACCAAAACCTGTACTCAACCCCTATGCCATATTGATACGGTTTGGTTGTATTTCTTTCCAAAATCTCATCTTGAATTATAGCCCCCATAATCCCCATGTATCATGGGAGGGACCGGTTATGAGGGTGGTCTCCCCAATCCTGTTCTCCCGACAGTGAGTTAGTTCTCATGAGATCTTATGGTTTTAAAAGAGGCTTTCCACTACCCTTCGCTCAGCATTTCATGCTACTGCCACGTGAAGAACGACCTGTTTGCTTCCCCTTCTGCAATGATTGTAACTTTCCGAGGCCTCCCTAAATTACCTAGTGTTAGGTATGTCTTTATTAGTGGCATGAGAATAGACTAATACACATATGTATTATCCTTTCCGTGAGAAATGCATAAAAACAAAGTAGTAAAATAATAGCACAGCCAGCATGAATTTAAAATTGTCTTCAAATTTTTTCCCACTTTTCTAAACCCCATGTAGCCTCTGCAAAGGATTACATGGCTGTAGAGTTGGGAAAATGAGAAGGGAGTGATGGGGAAAACAGAAAAAGAAAGAATTAAGAAGAGTTTAAGAAAAAAATCATCTTTAAGGGTGTTTGTGACTGTTCAGGAGAGGAATAAAATTAAAACCACTGTTTCGTGATTAATAACATTTACTCTGCTGTTGTCAACAGAAGTTATTTGTTGAATTTCACAAATATATTAACTGTAAAAATTTGCCCAAATGTGCAGACCTGGAGCCATTACTTTCTTTAAGAGGTTTGTACATATTCACTTTGGCTTGGTATAGGTTGATTTTATAAAGTTTCCTCTCAGGGTACAATACTTTTTATTTTCTAGACTTTAGGAAGTAAATTACTATATTCCTTACTAAAAAATCATTTCTTTAGGATATATATACAGAAGTAAATATTTCCAAAGCATTTATAGGACAAAGGCTGAAACAGTTCATGTTTATAGTACAAAATGTTTTTAGAATAGAGACATCAGAAATAAAATAAAGGTTCTATTGTAATTTCTCAGAAAAAAAAAAAAAAAAGGATCCAACTTCCAGTTCTACTTTTATTAGTTAAGAGATCTTGGGAAAGTAATCTCACATGAATGAGCTATAGTTTTCACAGCTGAAATATGGAGATAATAAATCTGTTAAATAATCAACTAGGGCTCTTATGATGACTAATATGTCATATAGTAAACATGTAATAAATATTTCCTTTTCCTTTTAAAAAATTTTAGTTTTGGATGAATCTCCCGCACTTACCCATAATCACTAAGATTTTCCTCTATCTTATATATAGCAATTCAGCTGAAAAAAAGCTTAGTGATTAAGTTTGGAAGCATTTCAGCTGACAAATAGGTTGTGAACTTGGGAAGCAATATAATATTTACATTGAAATAAACAATACGCAATTCTCATTTAGACAATTCTTTTGGCTAAACTAAAAGCTACTTAAACATTTCTTCTTTTTTTGTTTTTTTCAGAGATAGGGTCTCACTCTGTTACCCAGGCTGGAGTGCAGCCTCGACCATAGCTCATTGTAGCCTCAACTTCCTTGTCTCAAGCGATCCTCCCACCTCAGCTTCCTGAGTAGCTGGGACTACAAGGAATTGTGCCACCATGCTGGGCCTCGTGTATTATTATATTATATTTCATTTGCTACAGAAAAGCTCTGTGGGGGACTTAAGCACATAAAACAAAATGGAGGTATAAAATTGTACCAGAAAACCTAAGCTCAAGGTACTTACACTTCTTGGCAATCAAGGTACAAAGGGAAGCAATCAAGGTACAAAGGGAATCTATCTACACAGCATGTTTTACCCCTAGTAATATAGGGTAAAACATATATATATATATATTTTTTTTTTCAGCAAATAGCAGGAATGAACTTTTCCTGAAAGTAATTCTAAGACTAGCTTATCTTACTCATATGTAGAAAAAAATAACAAGATAGTAGTTTCAATAATTTTACAGAAGATACATGTAATAAGCCTGTTCTTGTACTGCTGTAAAGACATAACAGACTGGGTAATTTATGAAGACAAGAGGTTTATTTGGCTCATGGTTCCACAGGCTATACAGGAAGCATGGCTGGGGAGGCCTCAGGAAACTCAATCATGGCAGAAAGCGAAGGGGAAGCAGGCACATCTTACAGGGCAAGAGCAGGAGAAAAAGAGCCAAACGGGAGATGCTACACACTTTTAAACAACCAGATCTTGTGAGAACTCTATCGCCAAGGCAGCACTAGGGGAATGGTGCTAAACCATTAGAAACCATCTCCATGATCCAATCACCTCTCACCAGGCCCCACCTCCAACATTGGGCATTGCAGTTCAACATGAGATTTAGCTGACGTCATGAAGCCAAACCATATCAGTATAAAAACAGTCTTATATAATGTAAATTTTAAAACAAAAAAAGGCATTGAAGTAAATGTGGAGTTATTATTTAATGGGTAGAGAGATTTAGTTATGCAAGATAAAAAGTATTGTGCAGACAGATGGTGGTGAAGGTTGCACAATTTAAATGTACTTAATGTCACTGAACTGTATACTTAAAAATGGTTAAGATGGCAAATTTTACAGTATGTTTATTTTTTCTTACACACACACACACACACACACACACACACACCACACAAAACAAAAACACCCAAACAAGCAAACAAACAAACAAAAACCAGGAAGACTCTGGGATGAAGTAGTGAAATGAAAGCTTCTTCACATAATCTCCCATCTTCAACCAACATCAAAAAGAAAAAGAAAGAAAGTAGAGAGTAAACAGACAGGTAGGTTGGTTCTCCAGCAGCAAATCCACAAGACAGGAAGAGCTCAAAGTCATAAACTTCAAAGGTGATAGTCAACTAAAAACACAATAGCTTCTGGAGGAGAATGGAACAGCCCTATTTGGCAAGACTCCTAACTCGGTCCTTATGTATCAGAAGTCATAGAGATGAATTAACAATTCTCATTAACACCCCAAATCTGGAGAGA